AAAATCAGCTGGGGTTCAAATAATTTTTTCCCTGACTGTAGATAGTAGACAAGTATGAATGAGTGACTCAAAGCAATACATGGCAGCTTTCTTAGACACAAAGACCAGATAGTTGCTGACTACAAACACCAGGATAACTGCTTAACAAAGTTTTGATATTCAGCCATGATTAACTAAGCTGCTGTTTTCAGCAGGCTTGTTGTAATGTAATCTGTTTTCCACTGATGACCACTAGATGTCCATAAACACAAGGTGGTGGTATTGAAGTTCAGGTTTCCTTCACACCAAAGTGAAGGGTAGAATAGGATGGCACACTGTAGTCACATAACCTGAATTTCTGTGTCACACAGCATGTCATGATACTTCACTAAGCTCTTGTGCTGCAACACAACCAATGCAGCAAGAGGTACTGGGGTGGTTTGAATGAATTCAAACAAATTTTGTGTCACTTCGAACCTTGTTCGAATGTGACTTTTGGAAAAGAGACAGCCCTAGTTAGAGTAACTGTCCAGCAGTTTCTGTATTTGCCAGTTTACCAGACGGTATTACTGTTGTTCTCTCACCAAAGAGCTCATATTAATAGTACCAGCTCCCAAATGTGAAGGTGTACTGCTTTTCTCTTTTTTGTAAATGCAATATTTTTGGGTTTGAGCTTTCAGCCTTTTTATTATAGACATTTTTGACTTTTCACTTCCTTTTTATGACAATTACAGACAATTAGTTCAATCACTAATGAAAATAGTTATTATTTGTAGCCCAAGCTATATGGGCACTGTTATCAAAAATGTTTGAAACATACTCCTGCCTAATAACTAACATTGTACTTGGTCCTGTCTCCTCTCAGGTGACCCATTTCTGCCTGCCCCAGCTACTGCCACTCCTCAAACACTCCATGTCTTACCTCCATGAGATTTTTGAGTTTTATGAAGAGATCCTGACTTGCCGCTACCCTTACTCCTGCTTTAAGACTGTGTTTGTGGACGAGACCTATGTACAAGTCTCCTCCTATGCCTCCATGAGCATCTTTAAGTAAGCATCAAGTACATGTTTTAATGGTTCTCTGTCCTATCAAATCAGGCTAGGATGGCAGATTTCTGCAAACCTGGTTTTTGTGTGTGTGTGTGTGTGTGTGTGTGTGCAAGACATTACCAGCTATAGAAATTTGGAGTATGTTCTTTAAGGCAAGACATTACCAGCTATAGAAATTTGTAGTATGTTTAAAGAGCCCATGGCATGCTTGTCTGTATTTTGTGACTTACTAACAATGTTACAACAATGAATTATCATCTTAAACATGACTGAAAGCTCAAAAAACGAGGTGTACCTATGTTGTACTTCTATGCAGAAGCAACTTTGTGTAAACAAGTCACAAAAACTCTGGCTGGCAAGATTTTTTTTTTCAACAATGTCAAGTCCTGCTTGATAGTATACAGATTTCATTGAATGGTCATAATCTCCAGGCATTTGCACATTCATGTGAGCTAGCCTGACATGACTGTGCACAGTTTTGTGGATATATTTTATCTCTTGCTGCCACACTGACTAGAGGATGTGGAGAAAAATACAGGGCCTACAGAGGTTACTGCATGTTGAGAATGTTCCTGTATAGGGACTTGCTGTTTTACCTGACCGGGTCTAACCTACAAGCAGTCATCCTGTAAAGCCCTGGGCAGTGAATGATCAGCTCATCAACACTGGATTACCCTGGAGCACAGTACCTGTTTGTTTTGACTGCTCGAGGCCAGCGTGTCTGCCGCATGTGGTGTGTTGCCGGTTATTGAGCGGATTAATGAGGGTATTGTTGGTGCTACGCTATTTGTTGGAATTAATTTCACTACTTTGAGAACGTATGTGGTCGTGTGGGGGAAGATACAACGACCACAGGTGGATTTACCGACCTTGGAGCTACTTGAAAGGGAGTGATGTTTTCACTACTCAGTGAGACTAAACGATAAGGTTAAAAAAAACACACACACTGCATGCCTGTTAATGCCTTGTTTCTGTAATGTTAGAGAGAATTGTTCTGGAGAGGTTACTATGTCTGCATTATGCCAGTTAAAATGTGGCGTTTCTTAGTTACCTGCTTTTGTTTAGAGTGTTACACATCTCTTTTCATTGGCACATATACTGTTGTTTACCCTCTGTGGAGGAGAAATTCAAATGAATTAATGTTGTGGTGGTTCATCGTGCTGTCCACTTTCATATTCTGGCTCGAACGTGTCACGTAAGATTTGAGGTATTGTAATTGTTGAAAATGCATCTTATTTGTCAAAGTTATTTTGTTTATGCAACATTGTAGCTTCCTGACCGGCAACAGGAGTTGTGCATGTTCACTAACTGTCCTCTCGATTTCAGGAGGAGGCTCTCCTTGTGATACTGGGTTTTATCTTTCTGAATTAATTACAGACTATTTGAAGTTATGATGGGTGCAAATCTAGAGGTACCCAAGATTAAACATTCAATGGTTGGAAATGAGCATGCCATGGGCTCTTTAAGGATAATCCACAGTACACAGTTGTCGTGGATGCACATTATAGTCATACTGTATTCACACTGCCATTCACTTTCGGACTTGAGCTGTTGCCTCTGTTTTTCAGTACCAACCTGCTCCACAGTGCTGTGATAATAGACCAGACCCCACAAACTCGCCGCTGTCTGGCGCAAGCCTTGGCTCAGCAGTTCTTTGGCTGTTTCATCTCCAGGATGTCATGGTGAGACTTAGTCTAACATTCACTAATGTAGCAAAGCCCAACCTAAAACATGGGTTCTAGTCCAGCCTCTATACATTACAGTATGTGGGGGCATTTGTCTGCATCTACAAGGGCATGGACTAAAATAAAACCAAAACACAGAGCTTGTTAAACCGGAAAGAACATAGTAGTTTTGGCTGATGATTTATTGCTGGGTTTGAGATGGTGGAATTTTAACTAAAGAGCTCATGTCCTTGGAACAAGTGCTTCGTTTTCTCTGGAGGGATTCAAATCTACCATTACAGACTGACATCTGTGTCTGTAGTCATTTTTTAATGTTTTTGTCCATGATCATGCTGGACCATCAAATCAGCACTGTCCAGCTCTCCTATTTTCATTCTGTGCACAGTTATGCCTGACAGGTTTAATGTGACCAGGTACAAGGCCATGCATGCACTGAAGAAGAGATTGGTAAAAAGTATGTGTTCTTATCCCCATTTGTCAGTTTATCACGTCTCCCCACTCTCTGACAGCAGGCCACCTTCGAGTGTGGTCATTTGGAACAAGTAGAAGTACTTCTGCCTTTAGATATGAACAGATGGTGCATCATGTGGACTTGGTTGTTTGAGGCATTTTGTGATTATCATGGCATGAGGTGTCCTGAGTTCTGCCATGGGCAGCTCACGATTAGCCTCAGAGACCAGATTTGTATGTAATGGAAAAGTGTTGTCCTTATTGTTTGGATGCATATACACATAATGTAGAAATCGCTTTCAGTGGAGTCCGGGGACAACGCCATAGGACACACTGCTATTAATAATAGCCAGAACCAGCATTCCTATACAAGGAAAGACCTCCTTAAATAAGGATGGGGGAATAGCATCTCTAGGGGAGCCAGATGACTTAACCAGGCTAACCACCTCCTCCAAATAAAATAATATGACAAATATCCTCGTTTAGCTTCTTCAACAGTCTTCTGGTAGTTACGCCAGCAGTCCTTTAAGATTTGGAATGACACCTGTAGTCCATCCTTCTTCCACTGACGCTCCGCCTTACGGCAGGATTGTCTAGCTGCTTGAGTTTTAGTGCCAAACCAGGGTTCCGGCCTTGCCTTTGGTTGCTGAATTTTCGGCGGGGCCACCAAATCCATTATGGAGCGACAGGAAAGGTCGAACCAGGAACTGAGTCCCTCTGCATCGCCAGCAGCCGCGTCCGGTTGGGCAACAGCCTGATCAAACGCAGCAACAAACAGTCCAGCAGTAGAAGAGTTAATTATCTGGCGGCACCGAGTAGGCACACATACTGCACCCACTGCACAGGAGAAACTAACCTCGAATACAATAGGCATATGATCAGAAAAAGCATTTATACATATATCCAGGTCTGATACAGGAACACCATAAGAAACAATAAGATCCAACATATGTCCCTGCTCATGTGTAGGACCAGTCACATATTGCACCAAATCAAAAGCATCAAGAGCAGCTAAAATACCTCAGCAAAGTCAGTCATATCTCTTTGAATTTAGCAAAACATGGTACTGCCTGCTAGCACTGAATCAGAATGGGGGTTCACTGGGACCTGTAACTGAAAACAGGCTATGCTCGGTAGCCTGTGTGGCATATTAAAAGAGAAGGCAGAGCAAAAGAGCAATGAATCTATAAACTATAGTATAGTATGACAAATAGTAAAATTGGTTATGAGCTTTGGAAAAACGAGACCTTGGATTACTGTTTTGTCTGTCTCGTAGAAGTAAAAACAGGGTTTCTTCTAAATCAGTGTCTGCTGATGTGAAGACAGACTTGACCTATGACGGTTGCAGTTTTTTTTTGCCATGCTATGTTTTATAGAATTTTCCAATCCTGAATATGGGGCTCCTTTTCAATAAAGATTTGTAGGTCTGTCTGACTGAGATTGAGTAAGACAGGAAATTCAGAGTTGCTTAGTTTTTAATTATCAGCCATGATATGATCAATTGACAGTGTAGGGCAAAGGGCAGATCATTTCTTTACAGGAAAATACTTTTCTCCATCAGGTTGATTACAGCAGATACACAGATGAAATCATGTTTATTACATAAGCCAGGCTGGATTCATTTCAAGGGGTCGGGCCACACAAGTTGAGTCAATCTACTGTGTCTCTCTCTCTCTCTTTTTTTTTTAATAAGCTAATAAATTAAGACTTGTACATTTATGGGAGTTGTGATCACCATGCCATGTTCCATCCAAGAAATAACTCTGTCCAAATACTCTATTACAAAGTAATGAATCAACTCTAGTATGATCTTAAATGCTTTAAATGTCACTTAAAAGTATTGAAATGATTGTACTTCAAGGATTTTTAGCATTCAAACTCCGTTTCAAGTTGTTCCCTTGTGTAACTCATTGTAATTTATTTTGGCCTGGTTGTTTAATGGCTTCACACTTCTTTGCCACGATAAATCTCTGGACAGTCTCAGTGATTGCTAGTGTGATGTTGATTCACTTCAAAATGATGATGTTAAACTTGGTTTCTAGAAAGGTTGGACATATATCATTAATTTTTAAAGGAATTTAACTCACCTGTAACAAATTCATTAACATTTTGTAATGCTTAGTAATTTGTAAGCTTACATTGTAGTGACATGATATGTTATTTGTGAAGGGCTGATGAATGGGTGCTAAAGGGAATCTCAGGTTACATCTACGGCCTGTACCTGAAGAAAACCTTTGGAGTCAATGAGTATCGGCACTGGATCAAAGAGGTAAATGCTTGTTTTGAAATTTATCCTGTTATAACACTTTTCAGGTTTCCCCCAGGAAATGGTTAAGGTTGTTTACTTAACTGAGGTTAGATGATAAGGCTGGTCATTTTCTGTATTAGCAGTGTTTTTCCACACTCTCCATACAGAGACTAATACCTGCAGTAAACTGTCTCTACTGACTGTTAATGTCTGTCCTGGACCAACTTATTTGTCTGTGCCACAGACCTGCATTGTTGTTCAAAACAATTAAAAACACCTCAGCAAAACACTGCTGCACTGGTTGACATGTTTCCTCATTGCAAAACACCAGACCTGCATAATTTTTAAAAATGTTGCCTTAAAGGCTCCGAACGCCATAGCATTTTACAGCTATTGAAAGAAGCAAGAGCCAGTTGTGCATGCACGCAATCTCTGGATATTCTGTTAACAAATATAAGAGTCATCATTATGAGGAAACATCACCCAGTGCAGCAGTGGTTTCTCAGATGTCTACTTAATTGTTTTTGAACAACAGTGGAGGTGTATGGCACGGACAAATAAATTAATCCAGCACCGACAGATTGACAGACATGAACAATGAGTAGAGGCAGTACATTGTAGGGTTGTATGGAGAGACCTCCCATTCTGCTTCTGTGGACTCTAGGAACCACAAGTAAATCTGCACTCTGAGAGCAAAGTGCTCTGTTTGGATGATAAGGCTCTACGAGGTCTTTAAGATACGATGGAGCCTTGTCATTAAGGGCTTTGTATGTTAGGAGAAGGATTTTAAATTCTATTCTGAATTTTACAGGGAGCCAGTGGAGAGAAGCTAATATGGGAGAGATATGATCTCTCTTGCTAGTTCCTGTCAGTACTCTGGCTGCAGCATTTTGGATTAACTGGAGGCTTTTTAGGGACTTACTGGGACATTCTGATAGTAAAGAGTAACAACAGCCTGGAAGTAACAAATGCATGGACCAGTTTTTCAGCATCACCTTGAGACAGGATGCTCCTTCATCAGCAGACAGCAGCTTCGTCTGCTTTATCAGTGTGATCGATGTGATCAGCTGTAAATGATGCAAATTTTAGGCATTTCAAGTTTGTGGTAGTGCTGACTATGTAGAAAATCACTTCCTGCTCTCCATCTGCAATTTGTGCCACAGCAACACAGTGATGTGACGTCATATGCAAACCACCTATTGATCTGTCAGCGATCTGTTAAATCTAGAAATTGATAAGAATCAGTCACTTTCCTGATAAATCTGTACTGATGCATCTCATTTTATTGTCAAAGTAGTTATTTATTGTTGGTTTATACAGTTGTGACATTCATAAAATGTTACCTTGGCTGTGTGATGTACCACAACTACTTGTTTTCCCTGAACCTTAAGAAGGCTGATTTTACAAATGTAACAATATCTTATGATATGTAGAGAAGGCGCTCTTTACTTCAAACAAGGCGGGGTGGCTCCACTATAAAGGTGCAGTCAGACACTCAGAAGGCGCTCTTTACTTCAAACAAGGCAAATGTCAGACACTTTGCACTTCCGAGAATCTCTGTGTTGTTTTTTCCCAGGCACATCAGCCTGAAATGAATGCTAAGGAAAAAATGATTAGAATGGACACAAGGTGGCGGCTCTGAGTTTTCTTGCAAATGATTAGAGCTGGAAAGATTTTTTTGTTAACAGCAAAATCTGTGTTGATAATCAGTGAGTTGTTTCTGATATTTTTCAGGTAAAAATGCTCAACATTCTGTGGTTCCAGCTTCAGAGATATGAATATTTACTACTGTTCTTTGCCTTGGGTTTATGTTTTTGTTTCATCTTTGACATTTCATTACAGCTGCAACAAATTAATATATTAGATGATTGACAGAAAATTCATTAGCAGCTGTTCTGTTGATTAGTAATTTTTCAAGCAAAGATTCTAACAGCTGACTAAAGTATCTCAAATTTGGACATTTGCAACTGTTCTTTCTTATATTTGACAGTAAACGGAGCATTTCCTGACTGCTGGTCAAATAAAACAAACAATTTTAATGCATCAGTACATCATCATCATCTTGGGCTTTGAGAAGTTGCAGCAGCCATCTTTTCTATTTTCTGGCACTTTATCTGCAAAATGATTACCTGAGAAAACATTTGGCATAATAATCAACAATGAAATGATGATTTAAAACAAGTTTATGCAAAACAGAATTTGAATGATTATGATTTTTATACTGAGCTTTTATAAATGTTAATACCTGTGACTGTGCTTTTAAACAGGAGCTGGACAAGATTGTGGAGTATGAACTAAAGATGGGAGGGGTTCTGTTGCACCCGACCTTCAGTGGGGGCAAAGAGAAAGACAAGTAATCCATTTCATTAGAACTTGAATCCCTGTGCATTACCAACAGTAATTTAGTTTTAATGGCTGAGGTATAACTAATGTATATTTCTCTGGATTGTAATTGCATGACAGACTTTCCGAATGTTTTTCTCTGCAGTCCAACTCCCCACCTTCACTTCTCCATTAAGCATCCCCACACACTGTCCTGGGAGTACTACAAGATGTTCCAGTGTAAGGCCCACCTCGTGATGAGGTTGATAGAAAACAGGATCAGCATGGAGTTCATGCTGCAGGTCAGACACCACTAGGATCTTTTCTTCCCTGTCTCTGTAATTGTGGTAGAGTGAATGTTGTTACAAAAACCTCATTAGTCTTTAAATTCTTTCTTTTTCTGCTGTCCTTTGTGCTGTGCTGCTCTCCTTTAGGTCTTCAACAAGCTCCTGAGTCTGGCCAGTACAGCCTCATCGCAAAAGTACCAGTGTCACATGTGGAGCCAGATGCTTCTCTCTACTCACGCTTTCCTCAAGTCCATCTCCAACGTCTCTGGCAAAGACATAGGCCCAGTCATCAAACAATGGGTGTATCCTTTATCTGTAATGGATCTTTGTCTGACAGCAAACACAGTGATGCTGAATTAACTGCATGCACTGTATGACAGCTCAAACAGTTGAGAGCATTCAAGCTTAAATGATGGTCATAATAGAGCTTAAATGAGCTTTCAAAATAAAGCACTTGGCAGGGTTTTTACAGCCTTGCAGATTATTTCCAAAGATGTGGTTAACCACTTCAGTGTATGTCAGAAGAAATGGAAACACTTGTATGAAATAAAACTAATACTAAAGGTAGGCAGAGCTTAGATTAGTTAGAAATTAGTGAGAAATTCCAAATGAACTTGGAAACCATTTCATTTTTGTTCATAATTTGAAAAGAAACTTGGCACAGATGAAAATGCAGGTCATAAAATTTCTTGGCATTTATTATGAACTTTTGTAAACATTAATGGTTTATATTTTTTAATTCAATTTTAAATGAAACAAATAAATAGAACAAAGAATACTGCTTCAAACT